AAATACAGAATTATGCATATACCCACATATATTATATGACATGTGCATGGGGTGAAAAACAAATCTTGCTAGTTTACCGGACCAATGGCATAGGGAACAAAGCTATTACAGAATCGTTAGAATTGTGTTGTTAGAATAATCATGAAACCTGTTTATAATGCTACATACGTTTTTGAGCTTACATTTGTCTTTTCATTTTATAGATGAAATATATATAAATTCATGTGGTCATCTTTTTTATATGTCTTCTCCAAAGTCCTCTGGATTTTGAAGATTACAAATCTCAGGCTAGGTTAGGAAATGCTATCATTTGTTTCCAACAGCATGAAAGGTAGATTAACATATTTTGTTTTCCTATAGATCCACCCCAATGGCCTACAACATGCTGTCAAGTTTTCTTTTTTAAAGAAACAAAATTAAAATACCCCCCCGCCCCAAATACATCTTGGAAAACAAATTACATATAAAAACATATTAAAATTCCCTTTTAAAAGACTTTAAAAATTGTTTGTGGAAATAGGCTGAAAATTTATTTTACTTACAAAATAACTAAAAAAAATATATGATGGAATTGTTCAAAAGTCCTTTTCCTTGCTTCCTTTGCTAGCAGAACAAAGGACTGAATTCAGGCCTTCCTAGTTGTATCTGTAAGATATAATCCTAAATAAATAATTTTATTTTTATATTTATTTTATTTACATTTATTTTAAGAATAAATATTGTGTGCTTAAATATGAGACATAACATTTCTCATGGTAAATGTTAACTGCATTTATATTTTTATTAATTGTCTGTGACTTAAACCCCCTTATAACAGTACATTGTAAAACTGACTATGAATGAAGATGAAGTCATCACTGTAAGAGTAGCTTTTTCTGAAAAAAGTATTCTCTTTGAAATAAAGTTCTATTCGCTATATTCCTCTTAGACTTCACATGAATTTTAGTGCCTTTAATTTTAGATTGAAGTGAAGTCTAGAATAAAAATCACTGGCTGACGATTGGATTTAAAGGCAGTTGTTAATATTTCAGACATATAAAAAAGGCTGCAGGAAATCTGGTAAAGAGAGCAAATAGGAATCAAACTCTTTTTTGTGGGTGAGAGGTTAATAAGGCAACTTGAAATGTAATGAGTAAGTAATGATTAGGAAATAATTGCTCTGTTATAGAGGTCTGTTTTACTTTTTACTACTGTACCTCTCATAACAAGCTCAAATAATAAGTGCTAATAGGCTTATATCCAAAAGAAGTATTATCCATCCCCAAGGTTAGGAATACACATAACTAGTTGTAATTGAAATGTTTTATCAACATTTATTCCCCCTTTACCAAAAAGGTGGAAAAGAGATAAATTAACTTTCAGGGAGCAAGACAAAATTTTCAGCAGGGGTGATATTGAATTATAATTCCTTTTTTTTGTTTGTCCTTATTTTCCTCCTTTTTATGTTAGTGATATACTTGTGCTATTGCTAGTACATTTCAACTGCCAGTTACCCCTAGGGTGGCTTGGAGCAGGGTAGTGTGACTGGGTTCATATATTGTACCAGGTCAAAATGTGGTTTCTTTGTATTGACCTAACTTGTGTGAACGGAATTAATTGTAGCTTATTGAATTAATCATGATAAAACTATGCCTTACTATGATATGCACACCTAGTCTATATCATTCTGTAGCTGGGTTTATATAGCATATTTTCTTCTCCATTTTTCCCAGACAAATTGCCTGTAAGGATAGTTAGCTTGGGAGAAAGAGACTGGCCCAAAGTCACACAGCCAAGGAAATCCACTGAAAGTCTTTGCACCAGTCACTCATTCTCGATCCACCCTAGTTCACAGGATGGTGGCTGTAGGGAAAAATAAGAGGAGGGAGTGCACCTTAGCAAAAGGCAGGATACAAATTGAATATATATACATACACAAATAATTATGATTAAGAAATGATTTAGGTTTGGTTGCAGGTAATACCAAGCCACAAGCCACAGAAGCTGGGATTTCACATCGAACAAGTAGAACTTATCATTTTGTTCCTTTAATAATGTTACCTGAATTTTAAACAGATGGAAATACATCTATGTAGCATTAATGGACTTTCTAATGTAGCACTTTATTCATTCAATAGCCAGAGATAGATTACAATAGATTGCTTCAAGAAATGTGTGTTCCCTCTCTTTCCTGATTTCCTACAAGATGTAGTTGTTGTGATGATTAAAATGGCAAAGTGGAACTAGGTGGAGTAGCCAGATATAAATTTCCAGAATCAAACAATATGATATTGTCCTAGTGGACAATCATTTAAATATGAGCCAGCAGTGTGCTGCAGCTGCCAAAAAAGCCAACACAGTGCTAGGTTGCATTAACAGAGGGATAGAATCAAGATCACGTGAAGTATTAATACCACTTTACAATGCCTTGGTAAGGCCACACTTGGAATACTGCATCCAGTTTTGGTCACCACGATGTAAAAAAGATGTTGAGACTCTAGAAAGAGTACAGAGAAGAGCAACAAAGATGATTAGGGGACTGGAGGCTAAAACATATAAGGAACGGNCTTCCAACTTTACCATTATTATTATATATAAATTATATATTATGCAGTTGTTCTTCCAGTTTAATTTGTAGAGGAGTTCATTACATAATCCATTCCAGAGAACTGAGCACAGGATCTTTTCCTTAGCCATTTTTTTCAGGACAAAAGAAAAATCATCCCAAGTGCCTTAAATCTTCACTCATATCAAATCTTTTCTTTTAAAAAAAAGTTATGTGGAATATGAAGGTTTTTTTATAAAAAAGAAAATCTATGGATTTCTAAACATTTTTAAAACAGTTTGTATTTTTTTCAAAGCTAGAGAAATGTTATTCAGAGGCATCCAGCCCTTACAGTCGCTCAGTAATTACTAGATTGTGAGAGAATTATTTGATATTTTAATTATAGACATACAAAATCCTGTGTCAGAATGAAGATGTAGACTTATTGCTGATAGACAGCAAGAAGAAAGCCAAGCTTTAGTAGCCTAATATTTCATGCTGTATCTCATATTGTAATGTATTTAAGAGCTGTCTAACAAGTATAAATTAATAAATTGGATATTTTTGTAAAGATTCTACACTGAAAGGAATTCATAAGGTTGCAGTAATTGAGTAGCGATCCATTTTCTTTCAAATGGTTTTGAGAAAAATGTTTCAGAATAAGAAAAATGAATGAAGGATTTATTAATTATAGATGTATTAATTACACTAGTCACCACAAGGTAGAAAATGGAGAGGAAACCCAATTGAATACAACACATCTGAAACATTTATCCTCTTCAAATAGTGGAAAAATGTATTTTTTTGGCTAGACTTTTTCCTTAGTTGGATATCATATTGATTCTGTTCCTCATTATTAACATAATATTTATCCAGGTAACTGATGACAAACTTGCTGGATTAATAATCAGAATTTGTACTGACTTTGGGCTTGAAAATCTGTACCATCTTTTGCATCTTTATTGGAATTCCTAAGCAAAATTGGTACTCCAGGTGCCATGTTTTTGTCCCATGTTTAAATAGTCTTCATTTAGCAAAGGAATATGAGAATTCTAACAAATTCATTTCAACTATACTTTTGGTTTTGGAAGGATTCTAGGATTGTTTATATGTTGTGTATGTGTTGAATAAGATAAATATATTTTTGACTCTGCTGAAATAAACCAATCCTTATATAAAATATCATGACAAAAGATAGTTGGCTAATTGAGAAAAGAGAACTAAAGTTCTGATAACTAAGAAATTCACTGCAACATTTCCTTTCCAAATTGATTAAACGCTCATATTTTTAAAAGGTAACATGTTCTAGTTTGGTAACAGTTCATGAAGCCTATTGAGAACTCTGCCCATTTATTCAAAAGGGTTTTTTTCACCTAAAATTTAGTATAAGAATGACATAGATGAATCAGTCAGATTGATACGTTCTTCAGGATTAGAAGCTATTTTTTGTTGAATATTGACCCAACTCAAATTTTCTTCTGTCATAAGTGAAATAGATTTCACTGCATTCTTGAAAATCTTTCAAAGAGTACATTAGCATGGTGTTTGCCATGACAGCACTGTCTCTTCAGTTAAGAAGCATATAGCAATCAATCTGCCACTTAGAAGAATTTTTTTCCAGTTTTAACAGTCAGAAAATGTGCAAGTTCAGATGTTTTTTACTAGTTTGAATACCTCCTTTATAATAAGAAGAGATCAATGATCTTATCATCTGACAAGTAAAACTTCTGTTTCCTTCTTTCAACAACAGCAATTTTTTTCCAAAAATAGTCAAATATTGGTTTTCATGTCATATACCGGTAGTCTTCCATATGTATTGGATGCTTGCATTATTATTGATTAATCCTATGGACAACAGCTGAAATGTAATTGCAGACAAAGCTTATGAATTATTCCATTTAGATTTTGTGAAAAAGAAATCAAGCTTAATTATCCACTGTAATCTGAGATCAAATATCTCTTTATAAATTTCTTTAAACGTGATTTATTCCTTCATACTGAGATCCAATCAATATAGAAAGTACAGTCATGCTTTATCAAACCTGCTGACAAAAAAGAATTTACTGAGCAAAACATTCATCTGATATATACAGAAACAATTTTGATGTTCTTTGCTTTTGTTGTTACTGGAGGGTATAAATGTGGTGCTATAGGGCAAAGAAGTTCTAAGAACAACTTGGCTGTGAATTCATTATTGCTATATATGACAACTTTAGAATCTGGAGAGGTGATTTAAAAGAAATTTGTAAAAGTTCAAAAATATATTGTATTATATATTTTCTAATTTTTGTCTATAGCCAGTCTGAGGCTTTGCTACAGCTCTGTCAGGTGCTTATGCTGATTACCTTTCTGTAAAACAAGAGGTATTGACTAATGAATGAATGATTACGTCTTTAGCCCTTGCAGCACTGCCTTTAAGTATCATTGTCTTTAATGCACAGAAACCTCTTTCTCTCCCATTCTCTTTACAATGCAGGCTTCTTTGCAGAATGTCAAGCAAAGATCGACACATTGATTCTAGCTGTTCGTCATATATCAAGACGGAACCATCAAGCCCCGCCTCCTTGACGGACAGCATCAACCATCACAGCCCTGGTGGCTCCTCTGACGCCAGTGGAAGCTACAGTTCAACCATGAATGGACATCAGAATGGGTTAGATTCACCACCACTCTACTCTTCAGCCCCAGGTCTTGGGGGCAATGGGTCTGTCAGGAAACGATATGATGATTGCTCCAGTACCATTGCTGAAGATTCACAAACCAAGTGTGAATATATGCTGAACTCAATGCCCAAAAGATTGTGTTTGGTTTGTGGTGATATTGCATCAGGGTATCACTATGGTGTGGCTTCATGTGAGGCCTGCAAGGCTTTCTTCAAGAGGACAATTCAAGGTCAGTGCTTGATCATCCTTTTCTCAACTGAAGAAAAACCAGAGCACAATTCTGTTTCTCCTCCCCTCTCCCTTTATTTTCTATGGAATCATTTTGTACAATTTGATTGGATCAAATCATGCTTGTGCTAGGCTCCAGTACAGTCTGTTGATGTTGTTATGTGAGTGAAGGCTGCCCAGTTTAGGTTGCCAGTTTTCATTTTGATATAAAAAATTAGATTAAAATGTCTTATCCATAGAAGCCTCTTTCTTATCAGTCTTCTTTGGATGTGGGAGACTTCCTTACAAAAGTTAAGACAACTTTCCAGAAGTAACTCCTGATACCCTCTGTCATGCCTATGTTGGCCTTTATTTTGTCTCTTTTGTGTGTGTGTGTTTTAAAGACGTATTTGAACAATAAGATGACCAGTTCCAAAATACATTTTATAATTTATCATATTAATTCATCTCTTTGATGCTAGCTTAGCAAATAAGTCCTTTAGGTCATTTTACATATTTTACCTAAATTTTAAATATTTGTAATCATTGCTGTCCTATTACAACTGATAAGCTTACACATTGTGCTAAACTGTATAATGCAATTCATTGTCTCAGTTTCCACAAGATGCTAAGCTTTAAATCATACTTTACAAAGATCAATAATTAGGATCACATAACACACTAAGTCAAAACCAAATAAGTTGTGGTATAGCTTATCATGGACTGTATGAATCAGGTTATTGTTTGATTTGTTACATTTTATTTATAAGGTAATTTCATGTCCTACCTTAAGTAGTTCTGTTTACAGAAATAGTACAGCTTTAGTATTAAAGGCTATGATGGGATCAACAATTTTTCTGGCTCTTGTACCATCAAGCAATTATGCTAGCTCAGGCACCTTATAAGTAAAAGTGCAGAAATAGTGTGAAAATTCAGGCAAATTCTTATGTGAGATTGCCAAAATCACAACAATCATAGGTGATTTTAATGAAATCTCATGAAATTTGACCGAATAGCAAAAGAACAGAGTTGGAAGGGACCTTGGAAGTCTTGTAGTCCAAGAAGAAGACCCTATACCATTCCAGACAAGTGGCTGTCCAGTCTCTTCTTAAAAGCCTCCAGTGATGGAGTACCCACAACTTCTGAAGGCAAGTCACTCCACTGGTTGATTGTTCTCACTGCTAGGAAATTTCTTCTTAATTCTAGGTTGCTTCTCTCCTTGATTAGTTTCCATTCATTATTTCTTGTCTTTCTTTCGGGTGCTTTAGAAAACAGGTTTACCCTCTCTTCTTTGTGGCAGCCCCTCAAAAATTGGAACACTGCTATCATGTCACACCTAGTCCTTCTTTTCATTAGAAATACCCAATTCCTGCAACTTTTCTTCATATGTTTTAGCCTCCAGCCCTCTAATCATTTTTGTTGCTCTTTTCTGCACTGTTTCCAGAGTCTCAACATCTTTTTTATAATATGATGACCAAAACTGAATGAAGTAATCTAAGTTGGTCTTACTTTATAGAGTGGTACTAGCACTATGTATTTCTCTCCTAGATCTTTTGGCATCCTCAGGTAAAATAGCTTTTGGATTGCTGTGCAATTTCCTTGAGGATATTATGCATTACCCTAGGTTATGAAAATGTCCTTTATTGAATAATAATAATCAAATAATAATATCCCATCTGAAATATGTAGAGTTTCAGTTTAGTTGCTTCCTGCTTCACTGTTTAGGACATTAGTAAAATAAGAAAAATACTGCTCCCTGCTTAGTTATAAAATGACAGTAACAAGATAGAAAATGTTCACCAGGCTCCCACAAAGACAAGGATGAACATTGCTAAGATATATATTTATTGTATGTCAAGAAAAGGTAGTGTATAAACTACTTGAAAACTTCTTAGCTAGCAAGAAGGGCCATTCAGAATTTAAATCTGGTCACCTCTCACACCCTTCATGTTCTCTTTCAATGCCACTGTCACAAAAGAGAAAAAAAGGTTCGTTTTTATCTCTAGCTCTCATAGTGTCTGTTGATAATACATGCTAGTTTTCATTCTCTGCATTCCTACTGTCCCATTTTGGTAAGCCCACCAAGTTAGGCTAGAATTTTCCAGGCACTAATCAAATATTGATAGTCTAATACATGTTTATAGATTCCAGTATAACTTTTGTACAATTATATAGTTAAAAAAGAACCCAAATGTCATCAGATTGTTTTTTATGTGGCCATCTATCAGACATTAACCCAGAAGAAAACAGAACCATACTCAAAACAAAAGAAATATAGGAAACTCCCTTAAGACTATTTGCCCATCTAACCTAGTGTTATTTACTCTGACTGGCAAAAGTTATCCAGGGGCTCATGGAAAGATCTGCCATCAGCTGCTACCTGACACTTTTAGCTGCAGATGCTATGCATTGAACCTGGGACTTTATGAATGCAGAACATATGTTCTGTCACTGAGCTACGATTTCTCCCCACTAAGCTGTAGAAAATCCCTGCAGAGAACATGTTGCTCTTGATAATTCAAGCTGAGGCATCAAAATAAAACAGAGCACAAAACAGGTCACAGTCCAAATCCAAATCCAAACCGGTCTGGATAAGATTTCTTTGCAGTTCTAAAACTAAAAGCCAATGTCCATGTAGCACTGAAAATTCATGCAAGATTTCCTGAAGAAACGTCTGCCGAATTATTCTAGACAGAGTTTTGATCTTCAATGGTAGAAATAATAACATTGTGATTAGAGGCTTGAGCCCAGGGTATAGCATACTAAGTGTAGAATAACATCAAAAATATTCTCATTTTTGTTATGGGTAAAAGTTGTTTCAATATAGGGTATGGATAGAATCTTTAGTTCATGTATTTAGAATGGAATAGAAAAGAGCTGGAAGGGAGGACCTATGCCATCTCAGGCAAGTGACTGTCTAGCCTCTTAAAAATCTCCAGTGATGGAGCGCCCACAATTTCTGGAGGCAAGGTGTTCCACTATTTATGGATAGATTTTATTTATGGATAGATTTTAAAAGTATGGGATTACTTTATAATTTGGGGCATAAGATGATAAAGACAGTTGAATCATCTGATTGGTATTCATGCACACACTTACATAAGTACCCCACAGTACTTCTTATCCTATCCTCCAAATGAATAATTTGTTTCTTGAGTTGTAAAAGTTTCTGCCAAATTAATTGCCTAGATTTGGTTAACTTTTGTTTCTCTGAAAATAAAAGCAATAAACCCAATTAACTATCATAGCAGCAAAAAGAGTGACTATATCAAGGCTACCAGAAGATGCATGCTTTAACCCAAAGTCCCTACAGACAATATATTATTCTCCTTTCTCTTTCTGCATCTATTTCCATGATTGTAATCCCATTTATTCAAATGTATTGCTACTCTTCTCAATTTATATCTTACGTCGAACCATGATGACTTCACATCATAGAAAAGTGAAAACTAGCAAGTTCTAAAAATAGTACATTGATTTTTGGAGCTTGTCAATTTTATCTGTATTCAGTAGTAACCTGAAAAATGGCATGCTTTAAATAAAGAAGTAAATAAAATTCAAATTTTCTCTTTACAGGCAATAATCCACCCCCCCAAAGCCCTAAAATTATGATAGACAAAGATGTCCCTTTATTACAGAATGCTAATTCCATAGAACTAGCTCTTCCTAATTAAGAAAGCTTTGAACTTATGACCTTTTATGTTGTAATGACCTGTTAAAGTTGACAGTAGTTTCAATAGCAAATCGTGATACAGGTATATTCTAGTTCTTGGGCATGTCAAAAGACTAATTAGATAAAACTAACAGAACGATAAATAATTAAGGAAATAACCTTTTATCATGAAAGCCAGTGGATAGGTTTACATACCATATAACTTGCCAAATGGAACAGTTCTGATGGCACAGACTTAACATGTGGTCATTCTATTTTTTTTCACTTTAACAAAACTTGAAAGCTGTTAATTTTGACGAGATTGTGTCAGCCTCTTAATCATCATGGTAGCTTATTCCTAGATTCTCTAAAACCAGTCTATAGTTGATTGGCCAAGTTGGTGTGTGTGAAAGAGAGAAAGAATGGGCAAATGTTCCCCAATCCAGTTTCATCCAGATATATTGCACAATTTTGTATGCTGGATGAATTGATGTGATGGAATGCGCAGCTGGAGAAGGAATGGGGGAGAATATCAGCAATACATGGCTTCACAGGGAGGCAGTACATTCCATAGAGAGGATCAAGACAAGAGACTTTACAGTCCTGAATTGGTTGGGAGAGAAGGAAAAGATTCAGAGTAGCCTCAGCCTAGAATTTCCCAACATGTATCTTTAGAAGGTTATAGCTTTACTCTGGTGAGATTCTGCCAATTAGGTGTAAGCAAATAAAGAACTGAACTCAGTTGGATATCACAACTGAACTCAGTTGGATATCACTGTGTTGTCTTTGGACTTAGGCTTCATTGTTGAAGTTTACCACAGTTTGAGAGCCTCAGATATGAAATGTCAAAATTGGTAATTTTGTAGGAGGAAATAGCTAGAATCATAACCATTGTTTGAAGTTTATTCAGGAGATAGGTTTCAATTTGAGAACACAGTAGTGCCATTAATGGTCTATGTATAGTTATTGATACATTTATTTGTTTTATTTGAACCTTATCACTTTTGCCAATCCCAGATTAGTGAAATTGCTAGTTTATATGTAATAAAGCCATGGTAACCAGTAGTTTCACTTTCTATGCACCCATAATCCTAGTTCTTCCTAACCACTCCCATCCATATAAAATACATAGTATATGGATATTTAGTTATCCCTGTTATGATATTGCCTCCATTAAAGATACAGCCAAATAGCACTTTTTAATTATTGCAGAAGGCAGGCATATTGGACCTGGTTTATAGCATGGCGATTCTGATGTCCTCTTTATAGTTCTAATTAGAAGAACTTCATTGTTTTATGAGTATTGGATGAATGTAAACTTGCTTATGAGAGGAGAAGAACTTTGATGAATCAATAAACAAATTTCCCTA